CAATTTTACCACATTATGGATTCACTATGTTTTTTTTTCTACGATGGCAAATATATGCGATGGAATATATGCTTGTTCTATATAGAAACTTATGCAGGGGCACAAATAAAAATACCTTGATGTGTTGAAATGTAAAATGTTTAAACTCTATTGACGTTTTGGGTGTATAAGGTTAGCTCCAACTTCAAAGAAAAAGATGTACTGTGAGAAAATTTTAAATCTTTAACACTCACACATTTTTGAGTACTCAAAATATTCTCGAACTCAAATAAAATTCTCACTTTGCTATTTGAATTTGTTAAGATTTTTACGAAAATGGACTAAGCAAACATTATTAAATACTCTATATTTGTGTTTGAGCGTGGTGTGTGCACCTAATAAATATTTCATGGAAATGTATTTTTTTCTTTCTTACAATGCATATTGTCTAGTTTATTAATTTTCTTCTCAGTTAACGTTTCCCTCTCAAAAATAATATGTCCAGCCTAACATTTGTGTCAGCAAACTTAAAAGTTTTGACCTCTGTGTATTTAAAGTATGTCATTGTTTATTTCACGGCTTTAAATGTATATTAAATATCTTATGTACCCACATATACAAGAGGCAAACTAATTCTGCCATCAAGTAATTTATTAATCAAATAATTGTTTTCCATTTACCTAACAATATTCCAATGTAGTACAATTTCTTTCACGTATATCAGTAATACCTCAAAGACAATTAGAGGTGATTTTTTTTATTTACACGGTTTTCATTCATGTACCCTAATTATTATATTAAAACTACAACATATAACACCCATGTTACGCTTCCCTAAATCGATTTCTCTAGGTCTAAGATTCTCTAATTTTCATTTTGAGTTTTGAGAGAAATATTTTATCTCATGACTAGGCCTAACGAAAGATAAATTACAGTGTATAATGTAGCATTCATTCAACGGAAGAGTCTGGAAAACATTTTTCAGAATATTTTCCTTTAAAATATAATTTTGCTGAAAACATCTCCATGTCCATTGTCCATTACTTTCGGATTAGTAATGGTATCCCGCCGCTAGTCAGTAATGCTGCCGTATATATTCCGTCCAGGTCCCTGTTCAGGCTGTTGGTTTATCCAAAGTGAACTTCCATCGAATTTTCAGTGCAGATAGTCTCTACAACAATATTCAATGCACCAAGCCAAAAAATATTTTACTTGTTAATTTTTGATTTTCAAATATCTGCAAAAATATTATGGTAAGCCTATATTTTGACATTTAATTACTTTTCATTTGGTCTGGCACATATTTTGGGTTTTTAGATAATGTCCTCTATTCATGTTGAAGAAATATAAAACCCATATTGTAATCAATTAGTTTCTTCTCAATTATATTTAGTGAATTTTTCTCTCAAAGTATTCATCAAATCTTTCCCTTTCTTATCTCTCTAACTGTTCTTAATAACTCTTAGTTTCAAACCTCAAGACACCACAATATTTATAAAAAAAAAAATATTTAAAGGTAAAATCGCAACCTAAACAACCATTTGGTCCTACCCGAGCCTGATGCTAAACTCTATTGTCACGTTTCTTATTCTCTCCTCTCTAATAATTTCACTAATTGGTGGTACTACTACGCGTAACCTTTTATTACTCTTGTTGTGTTTAAGGTAACCAAGCTTTAGTTCAGGTGAATGACATGTGTTCAGGACAGTAGAATATTTCTTACCTTTTATCAAACATTTGAATAATAACACCAGGGCATGACACCAATTTAAATCCAAATTGTACAAAGAATTTGGCGTTTATTCGTGTTGAATAAATCCATTATAAAGTCTAGCAACTATGTATACTCTAAGGTTTTACCAGGCCTACAGATATTTCAATATTTTACACTAAATAAGTTATGATTGCTTTCCTATGACCCATTGACACTGTTATAAATAAACGCGTTATTTTAGAAACAGTGAATGATTTATAAACTTTCTAGATGAAAATATGGTAAGTGATCTTTTCCAATGATACTTTCTTTATTACAATGATTGAACGGCAATACAATATAATTCAAATTAAAATTTTAACTAATTATTTAGATATTGCATAGTTGTAGAGTCATGCTAATACTCTCTAGACCTTTGTAAACATAGCTTAATTTCAACTGGAGTATAATTTCCAATTTTTTTACTTAAAAATATGAATTACAAACAACATGACACAACTGAACCTAAAACCTCTTATTTAACTCTTTACAAAATACATACGTTTAGTAAAAAAAATTGCTTTTTGTTCAAAACGTTCGGTTAGTCCAATAGTTCAATAGACTTTTACTAATTGAAAATATTAAATCCTATCGTAACTTTTTATTGATTAATAAAGCTGTAAGCTGTAGATGACCGTGAGTGAAGATTTTAATTAAAGTGTTTATATCCGAACGTATAACTATTTTAATAAAACGCTATATGTTATTGGAGAATCGTCGATCATTTATTGGAGGTGTTTAACAAGTTCACCCTTTAAAGGGTTATTTATCTATTTTGAAGGGTTCAAAGCTTTGCTCCGTTCGTATAACCTCCTTCGTATTGAAATACTAGGTATATGTAAGCGTGTTACTTTACTTTTATTTCGTGTTGTATCAAACGAATAAATACAGTAATTCATGTCTACATTATAAAACTATTAGTTAATCATAAAAGGTACTAGATTATGAAAGCAGATTATTTTAACTGTACAAAAACATATTAAAAACAAGGATTTTAAAACATGTTTAAAAAGGAACTCTTCTTTAGATATTGAAAAGGCTTAGTCAGAAAAAATCTTTTTTAACATGTTCTGGAAACGATTTGGTAAAGAATCTACATTGTATTAAAGTATGGTAATTAGATTGCTTTCATAAAGCAAGAATATTGCATACAAATCCAGTTAATAAAAGAATATTTTAATCAAACTTTGGTGAAGCTTGTATTTCCATTAGTTAAGACCTTTCCATACCTTAGCTTATCTTAGTTTTTTTACATATTTTTATATTCATGCAATTATTTCCATTATTGCCATTCCAAACCAAAATATTTTATTTATTTTTGCTTAACATTGACGGTTTATCAATACTAAAACATTTTAAATGGGCTAATTTTGGATTAACACGCCACCAAAATAATTTGTTGTTTATGATACATGTGCCTAAACTTCTTAATCAATTTGCGCTTCAACAATATTCAACAATTGTAATTTGCCTCAAAGTACACCGAGTAACTGCAGAATAACCTCCGCCAGTGATGACGGCACATGCCTTACCACAGCTGGCGGATCGGTTAAATAGGAGTCAAGATTTAGTGCTTAGATTGTGCCCTAGAAAAAAACATTGAATAAATAACTGATACGTATGTATTAAGAACAAGCTACAACAATATTATTTTTAAGATGTTTCTTATTTAAAGAAATTTATTTCATAAAGCATTCATAATCAAGGGATTGTGCTCTGACAAAAATACCCCCACCACGTAGCAGCAAACCTTCAAACTAAGTGACCTACAATTTGTGTGATTGGATTTTTACTAGAATATTTCCGTAAATAAGACATATTTATTCCTTATTTATATAACATAAGGTTTAACAACTAAGGTTTGCTGCTACGGGGAAGTTAAACAGTGTTTTTGACCAAATTTTAATAGTATAGGATAATTAAGAATAAAATAAATTTTCCAAATCAGGTCAAAATTGAACGATAAGCAAGGAAACTACAGCAGTTTTCTTTTTCTCCTTAGGAATAACATGGCAATTTTATATGTAACGTTTTTGAACTTTTTTCATTACCTTTATTGTATAACAATGCTTCAATATACAAAATTATTATTTTTAAGCTCTACACGATGTCCGTAATAAACATTTGCCATATCCATATTTTATGGGTGAAACTTTTAATAAAGAATATTTTTGAAAATGTTTAAACCACAACCCCCTCCTCATGATTGAATACTCTTAATTAATAATGAAAAGATTCTTCATACTAATCTCATTAACAAGGTTTTCCCCAGATAATATTGAAACAGATAAGTGAACAACTGTTAACTCAGCACTTAGCAAAACAAATCCGAACACTTAACCTGTTTTAAAGGTCCAATGAGACTACGAATACATTAAAACGTAGTTTCCATCAAATAAAGGTTTTGTAATACGTTGACGCTATTATTACCATGATTAAGCTATAATTTTAGTTTATTATTTAATATCGGTTATGTTTTTTAATAATGTATAATTTTGTATATTAAAAAATGCTACAGACGAAAACAAGAGAAAAATATAAAGTTTTGTGTAGAAAGAGAATCGTTGATTATCGTCCTTTTTACTATATAATTTATATTTTGTAAGGAAGTCTATAGTCTGGTAAACTAAGTTTAAAGTCTAATGAGTTTAAACTAATGAGATTAAGGTAATAAATGGTGGACCAAAGCCAGGACACTTTGTCACATCTAATCACATTACGTTGCATTAAAGGAACTTGATACCCAGCATCTTAGTTTTCAGTCTTGCTGAAATAGTCTGCGTGGTTTTATATCAACGTTACAATAACGATTCGGTTTATTAAATTCAAACAACGCAGTTTATATCAAGGGAATAAACTCTCTAGAGATTTAAGAGAAAATATGGTAAAATAAATTAATATAAAGCCAGAAGATGTTTCTAGGAATGATTCAGAGAAATTTTTAGTCATTCTGTATTATTTTTACATAATAGATCTTAGTATTTCATAATACGTGATTTTTTACTTGTTTTTAAAGACATTCTTTTGTTTTAAAGTGGTTTTGGGAGCATGGTGATCTACAGGTAGAGTACAGGCTTCGATCCCCGAGATCCAAGGTTTAAATCCCGCCAAGCACCAAATGGATTTTATTTTGTAATAATGCCACGATCTTTGAGACATACCCTTAAGTATTGTGTAGAGCTAGCATCCTAGGATGTAGGACTAAATAAATCTCCCCAAGCTTACATTAACTTAAGTTTGAGAATTACATTTCCTTTCATGTTTACAGGGAGACCAAGGGTTGCCATGGGAAGGGAGTGGGACGCCTCCTCTTCTACCCCCGCCACCACCAGGTAAAAGTTAAGATAATTATTTTTTTAATTCTTTTATTTTTCGAAAACTCTTATTTTCGAATTTATATTTCTTAGTAGCTCCCTCTCAACTAACAGCTTTTAACCAATGCTAACATCACGGTCTATTATCATTCTTCTTTTCTTTAATATCTGTTTTTTATTATTTAATTACCCAATTTAATAAGATTTATATCTCCAGTGCAGTAAAATATCTCATATTAGTACCTTTTAAAAAGGTCAAACAGTCATAATTTTGTTATTGAACTTGCTAAGTAAAGTGCAAAAGGTTTCCAAACGGGAAAGCACTAAAGCCCAAAGACCTTCTCTAAATCCCTGCGTCCAAATAAAAGTCTTTATCTTACCAACGTTGCGGCGCACTAACACTAGGGACTCGTCTATACGTTTCATCTAACAACTGCGTTATATCAACATACGTTACAACAATGTTGGTTCAATTTAAATGCATCACTTACGAGAATTCAAATGATCTGAGGAAAATAAATGTTGATAATAATAGATGCTAAGTAAAATGTTGTATTGAGCCGTTATGGAAATTGTGTTGATTTCATATACAAATTGATTTTTCGTTAATAATTTTTTATAGGTTGATAATTTTCCCTTCAGGATTGATACAATGATTTTAAAATGTATATATATTATTCATCGACTTACTAGGCATTATTAGATTACTAATATCATATTAAAATTGCTCATTATGTTATACTACTTAATAATGGTCGCAGAATCTCTAAAAAGACACATGTTACATTAAGGGCAGTTCGAATTAATTTCACCTCGGTAATATAATAAATGATGATTCAAAAACTAGAACTGATTAGAGACCAAGCTGCTTGCTCGTGTGTTCGTTTTTTTTTTATTTCTTAACGTGTTTTCTTTATATATTTACTTATTCCTTAGCCATCCTCGCACTGTCTCCCTTACATCAGAAGAAACTGGAAATCTTTACAACTAACTGATGGTTTTAAAAGGTTGATAACAGATTTGAAATTAAAATATTTGCATTTTTTCTGGGACAGCCCTGACGTATATTTTTGACTTGGTGCTAAAAATAAATCAAGAAAACTAAATACAAACTCTGAGTAAAGCCGGAAGTTAATTAATAAACAATTGTCTCACTAATTCAGCCATTTTTTTTAGAATAACACCTTTACTGGTTTAGTTTATCGTTTATAAATAACGTGCTTAAGTTTAAAAAAAATATCTTTTACTTATTGTGAGCTCGTAATGCTGTCGGTCGTGTTTAAGTATTGCCATTTTGGTTTCTCGGTTCAAATATCGGTTATGTTAGATGGTAAATATTTTAAACTTAAAAGAATCTGACGAAAGCTTTTTTTACAACAAGATCACCTACCCAACGGTATACACTTATTTATTTCTCTTGGGTGTGATTTCCTGAAAACGCTTTCAAAGGAAATTTCGTCAGTGTACTCATCTCAATTTTCCACCTCCATTGTGCAACAGAGTAAAATATGAAATAAACATAATTTCTTTCACACTAGCTATACAATAATAAAAGAATAACAACCCCTAATAAGCTAATTGTTTAGAATATTATTGTTTTTTTTATTTATCAAATCTCAATCAATATAGAAATGTATAAATATTTCAGACTAGTTTAGTTCACAAAAAAATGTTCTTCCTTGTACCTTTAAAAGTATTTTCCAAAATTTACAGCTGTTACTTTGCTCGAATACATTTTTAGGAATTCAAGTTACCCACCCAGGAGTTGAACCATCTACTAACCCAGCAAAAACTAAATGGAAACATATTTTACATAAGTTACACCTGGTTAAATCACTTGTTTTTCCCCACTTCACTTACTGCAGCTCTGTGATCAATGACATGACTGTAAACCTCGCTGATGCTCTCCAACGCGCTCAGAACTACTGCCTAAGATTCATTTATGATCTAAGACGCAGTGAGCGCATCACACCTTTCTACATTCATTCTAAGTTATTAAAGCTGTGTGACCTGAGATCAATCAAAATTCTTTCGCTAACCTATTCAATATTAAAAAACAATTTTCCAAAATATTTTGTAGATGATTTTAGGTTTGTAGCTGAAGAAAGTGTCAGATACTCACGCCATGCATCATTAACTTTGCGTATGCCTCACCATAGGACCGCAGTTTACGACAGAGCGTTTATTGTAACTGCTTGCCGTCTTTGGAACGATCTTCCTTTAGCTATTAAATCCCTCGATAGTCGTTCCCGGTTTGTGGCAGCGCTAAAAAATCTCTATTTTGAACGTATGGCCATGGTAGGTTTGTCGTAGGGGCCTGTGCGCATGGCGGTCGCTGACTTGTATGTATGTGTGAGTGAGTGTGTGTGTGTGTGTAAGTATTTTTAAAATTTACTGATTTTTGATAAAAGTTTCTGTATCTGAGTTTCTGTAGATTTCTGTTTTGTTTTATTGTATAAGCTGATTATGTTAAAATATTTATATTATGTTTTAAAGTACAGGTTAAGTGTAAGAAAGGGCCATGTGGACCTAACTTTGCCTGTATAAATAAATGATTTTTCATTTCATTTCATTTCATTTTCATTTTATTAGACCCTTGTAGAGTTGTAAACATTGCCTAACAGCTTTTAATGTTACCAAAAGACATTTCTACGCACAACACCTTATTGTTAGAAATTCAAATGAATCTCTCTAACTTCAGTTTTTAGTAAAACAGCACTAAAAAAGCGGATATTAGGCTATGTTATTAGGCAATGCCGTAAGCATTGTAAATAAATAAATGAAAAAATATTCAAATTAGTTATTAGTAGTTAGTAGTTAGTAGTGTTAGTTATTAGTTATTAGTTAGTTAGTTTATTGTATTAGTTTTTTTTTTCTTTCATAAATTAGCCTATCCATCAAAAACTAACAGCAACAGTGTCAAACTGACGAAAAAAAGTAATAACTCAAAAAAGAAATGTTGATACAAAGATTTTTCACTGTTTGTTTCTAAAAATATTAGGAAGCCAAAGGTATTACAGAACATTTAAAACCCTAATTTTTGAGTGAAGTTTCAAAACTGTTGGTGCATAAATGGGCAAAAAATATAAAATTTCTTCGTGGGACACCCTGTGCATCAATATAAACACCCAAAACATATAATATGAGCTATAATATATATACATATAATATATCTATGCGAGAGTGACAGTGAAAGGAACAAATGGACCTATTCCGAACCAAGACTTGTATGAAAACCACCCTCCGGAGAAATAGGTTTGCTTACCCTCAAGAGGTTGGCAAACCTTTGCAAAATTTACCTTCACAAAGCCTTACAAAATACGATCTCGATTTCCTTACTGAAATTTCTAGAACGACGCACCTAAAATTAGCTTTTATATTGTAAAGCATTCGGTATATATGGTCGTTGATGGATTAAATAAACGTTTTTTTTTTAGCGAATTTCCCATATAGGGAATAAGCTATTACCGTAATACTCATGGTAAGACCTGGACCCGGGACCGATTTATTGGTTCGTTTTGAGGTCCCTAGAGGCCAAAAACACCATCCGTTCAAATTCATATATATATATTTATATATATGTGTCCGTTAGCACGATAACTCGAGCAAAAATTATCCGATTTTGATGAAATTTGGTACAAACGTGTTAACCTACATTTATTCGAAGGAGTTCGCGAACCAGCATGATCGGATTATGGGGACGGGGGTTTATGGGGGGTTTTATGGGGTAAAAATAGGTTTTTCCCATTTTTGACCCTAAAAACACAAATATTTACAATTTCTTTTCACACCATATTGTAGAGCATAAAAAAAACAAATAATTTAGTATATTGAAGCGTTATTGTGCGCCTAATGGTTACGGAGAAAATTCCAAAAAACTGTAAATTTAAAATCCCCATGTTATTCTTACGGAGAAAAAGTCAACTGTTGTAGTTTGCTTGTTTATAAACATATTTTGACCGAATTTGGAAAATACATTAATTTCTTACTAACCTATTAACATAAAAAACCACCTTTTTACCCTCCCTGTTGCAGCAAACCTAAGTAGGCCTACTCGTTTAACTAATTCTATTTAAATAGGGAATAAATCTGATATTTTTAAGGAGACATTTTAGTGTAAATCCTATCAGGCTAATGGACATTCGCTTAGTCTGCAGGTTTGCTGTGGCGGGAGTATTTTGCTGTTGTAATTTTATTCAATGCGTCTACATTTTGTTGTACTAAACATAAACAGGTATTTTGTATTTTTGTTCACACATAATTCATTTTATTCTATAGGTCAGCTTTTGCTTAGTTTCAAAAAGTTAATGTAAAATAAAGTTTATTTTATCTATGTTATTCATTTACTAAACACATATTTCATTTATGCTTTCCTTTTTCTCCCGTAATTTTCTTTTAGCGAATTTCCCTATAGGGAAGTAGCTATTACCGTAGGTCTCATGGTAAGACTTAAGCCCGGGACCGATTTACTTTTTCATTTTGATGTCCCCAGAGGCCAAAAACACCATTCGTTCAAATTTTTATATATGTATATATATATATATATATATATATATATATAGATATATATAGATTTATATATATATATATGTGTCCGTGAACACGATAACTTGAGTAATTTTTATCCGATTTTGATGAAATTTGGTTTGAAGGTGTAAAGCGGGATAAACTTGAATGAGTTCGCGATCCAGCATGATCGGACCATGGGAACAGGGTTTTATGGGGTAAAAATTGGTTTTTCTCACTTTTGACCCTCAAAACACAAAATTTCCCAATTTTTCTCTAAACCTTCTTAAAGAGCTTAAAAAAACAAACAATTCAGTATATCAAAGTGTTTTTGTACGGTTATTGGTTACGGAGAAAACTAAAAAAAATTGTAAATTTAAAATTTCCATGTTATTCTTATGGAGAATATTGTAAAATGTTGTAGTTTGCTTGTTTATGGATATCTTTTGATCAAACTTGGCAAATATATTCATTTCATACTAAGCAATAATTATTTTACTTAAAACACACAC